ACCGTCACATTATAACGTGTGTCACATTATAACGCCCCCACGGCTGAAAGGGCGAGCATGTTTGGTGTGACGGGGATTCGAACCCGCGACCTGCAGACTGCGAGTCGAGCGCCCGAACCACCTGGCCCCTTTATCTAACAGAGAAAGCTTACTAACATAAGGAAAAATACAGAACATCCACTAAATTCTAGAAGAAAATTCTCTTGTCAAATTCAAAAATATTACTGAAGAAAATCGGAACATTTTCACTTATCTAACACAAAACCTATACGAAATTACAAAACAAAATTCTTTAATCAATCGAGTTCAAAACGTTTACTAAACTAAACTAAAAACAATATACTCGTATTTTCAAAATAGAATTTTCACCTATATAAAGCCTGTTGAGTAATCAAATGGACGAGTCGTTTGTTTATTTAAAGTAAAGCTACTAACTAAAGCTATTTTCCGCTGTCCCTAATTTTGAACTCCCGTCCACAAGGAAGACAACCGGATGTCAACACCCACCACTAACTCTTAAGCTACTCTTTACCAGCGAATAGTGGCTAATGAAGTAAAAAAATTTCACTTGCATTAATAATGCATTTTCTTATTTATTTATTGCATATCTTTCACCGATATAATGAGAAAACTCCCTTGTTTCACCTTCAAACTGTGTAAACGTTCAAATAAACTTTTGTTTTTATGCTTTTCTGACGTTTTAAAAGATTTCAAGTTTTTGGCGAAGTTCTTATTGAAATTATAAAAAAACAACAATGTACAGTCAAAGCTGATTATTTCAGAACTTTTAATAAGTTTTCTTATATAATTTTGGCTGGAATGGTTAAAATTTTCAGATTCGTAATAATGAATTTCGTGTATTGTTGCAGGTGGTCCCAAGGACTGTTGTTCCACCAGGGTCTAGTAGACTGTGCTCGAGCTAGTCTCCTTGTTCCGCTGGCTGTTAGCGTTATGATGTGCCAAAGCTTATCCAAGTGCTCCATATTGGAGACGGCGTTTTTACTGCTAGTCACTGTGTCCACAGTCAACTTGCTGACGTCTGTCATCAACGATGCTCCTCTGGTCCTTGATCCAGACCAGCCTCCCCTTGAGACCAGGCAGACCAATGCTGAGTCAACGGAGTTCCCCCTTGATAGTCGTCAGTGTATTGCTTTCGGGTTCTTCATCATTTGGTTTGCCAGCATCACGATTAATCTCGGTCCCACTTTTCTCAGTGGTGCTCTTTCAGGGGCTCGAGAAACAGGACAGGGTGAGTTGTGCCCTATGGTGTATGGACCTGTGCGTCATTACGTCTTGAACGTCTTATGGGTGTCTGTTAACATGCTCTGTGTCCTACTAACCGCTGTCCACCTGCGAAAATTACATCGTGATTTAACCAAATCCAATTTAGAGGCCATCAGAGTTGCCAGTTTGGTCACTACTATGATATCAGTGCGCTCTGAGCGCGAGACGGGAGAGCACGAACACATACATAACTACATACACAGATTGGAACGTGAAGGACTCAACCGAGTGAAAATGTTTGTTGTCCTCCTCGTGGCTTACGTCATCTTCTGGGGTCCTCTCTTCGCCATCACGCTTGCCCAACCTGGACTAGACACAGCCTCTCTTACCTATCAGGTCAGTTTACACGTAGCCTTCGTACACGCCTTCGTCAACCCAACATTACTTCTCATGTTGAATAGAGATCTTCGGCAGGCGGCTTCAGACCTGTTGTGTTGCCGTTGTTGTCTGTCCTACGAAGTCAGCGTTCCTCCGTATCAGGCAACTCATTCCTTTCGTCTAAACCACGGGTACATGTAAGTCATTGTGATGATGGTTAGTATTACAAGATAATAAATCACAGGCTCTAAAAGGTGTGTGTTGATGGTTAAGTAATATTACAGGATAATGAAGCATGAATACTGTAAATCGTTTATGACTGTCTCTCGAAGTCAGTTTTCTTGTGTTCCAAGCAACCTTTTCCTTCTACCTAAACCAGAGGTTTTTATTGGAGTAAATTTCTTATTAATAAATTACGGGTACACCTGTAACATAGCTACAACGAAATATAGGGTTGCGGAGTAATAAATTCATGATACACGTAGATCTTAGTTGTGTGATTGGGTAATATTAATCGGTAGTAAGCTGCAAGTAAACATAAGTTATTAATTGTTAAAAATTATTTTTTCATAAATAATAGGCTAGGAGTATACGAAAGATAGGGAGTATTGTTGAGAAATATATACAATGAGAACATGTAAGTTGGTGTTGTGTTAGTGGATCGTATTGTTCATTATGAACTACAGGCGCATATAAATCATCGTTAAAGTGAAGGCAATGTTGTTGAAATATAAGCAGTGTGTACGTGACAGAGGTAGATAGACTGCAGATAACCATATTGTGTAGCTTTGCACTAAAAACAATATCAAGAGTATGCTGAGTCATATGGTTGTAGAAAAAGCCTCAAATGCGTGAAAATATTTATGTATTAGTAATTAATACTGTTTGATGATAGAACAAGGTTACAAATAAGTCGCACTTATATTGGTTGCTATTAGACAAGCTGTAGTTCACATTACACAGTATGTATTTGTGATATATATATAGATATATATTTGTATAATATCTAACCTATGTTAGTGTCTATGTTATGAAGCTGTCTTATGTCAGTGTTTGTGTCTATGTTATGTAAGACGTTTTTTTGCCTGTTTATGCAATATTTATATGAATTGTGTTTGTGTAAACCGTGTTTCTGTGTGAAGTATTTAAACAATGTTGTATAAATTGTGTGATGTCTATATCTATATGTGTGTTATAGAATCTGTATTTGTATTTTATATAGACCGTGTTGGTGTCGCTTGATGTTAATTGTATACGTTACATATACCCCATGTTCATGTATGTTTTATGTAAACTGTATATGTTATATATAACCCACGTTCATGTTTATTTTATGCAAACATATACGTTGTATATACCCAATCTTCACGATTTTTAATACAAACTGTATAAGTTATGTATACCACATGTTCATGTTTATGTTATGAAAACTGTATGTGTTATATATATACCCCATGTTCATGTTTATTTTATGTAAACTGTATAAGTTATGTATAGCCCATGTTCGTGTTTATTTTATGAAAACTGTATGTGTTATATATATACCACATGTTCGTGTTTATGTTATGAAAACTGTATGTGTTATATATATACCCCATGTTCATGTTTATTTTATGTATACTGCGAGTGTTTACGTTTAAACATATAGATCTCTCTCTATCATTTTTACTAAAACTTTGTAAGTGTTGTGTATGTTGAAGTAGAATACATGAAGAAGAGGGGTAAGAATATTTTAGGCCAACGTAAAGTAATCTACAACTAAACATTAAAATCTATAATTCACCTGTACACGCACACACACATACATATATATGTAACATCGGTGATTTTTTTTTATCATCATGTCGAAGAAGACTTGTCACGAAAAGTTCACAAGCGACGTAACAAAGTTAGTAGCGGGTGTGTCTAGGTACAGTCATCTTTCACACCACGTCGTCAAAAGTTAAATAAATATATGCATATAAAACTAATCCGAGGTTCCACAGTACTCAGCGATTTTCTTTGCCGCTAAACGAAGCAAATGATGACGTTTAACATTTGTTACACCTAAGAGAAAAATAGTTTCTTAAAAGATACAGTGTAAAAGCAATAGAAAATTACGTTCGCAATACTTTTTCTGTCATTATCACCTAGATCGGTACTGTGATGATCGCCAACCAAATGTTTTTGGTTATTATTAAATCATAGAAAACAAGTGAGAAACAGGGTCGAATTAACAGTAGAATACCTAAAGGTTTCCCTCTCAAATATTACATATTTTGTTTTACGACTGTAATTTCGTGATTACCAGGCAAAATTAAGAGACTAACTGAGTAAATCAACAATAATCCTGTTATTTAACCACTACCACCCTGAAAAAAAATGAGACACGAGGTACTGTAATTGTATTTCCAGGTTTCCTATAGATAATAGCTGAAAACATGAGTTTATGTTACTTTAGTATTTTCTGTGTGTTTCCAAGCAATTGTGGGTTCAAATAGTTATACAACAGTATTTTTGCATATTTTCCAGTAAACAGATGAGAGGCTGAGTCAGTGTTACAACAGGATTTCTGTGTGTTTCCTATTCAACAAATGAGAGGTTGAGTTTAGTATTCCTAAAATAATGTGTGTTTTCCGTTCAACAGATGAGAGGCTGAGTCAGTGTTACAACATGATTTCTGTGTTTCCTATTTAACAAATGAGAGGTTGAGCTTAGTATTCCTAAAATAACGTGTGTTTTCCATTCAACAGCTGTGAGGCTGAGTCAGTGTTACAACAGGATTCCTGTGTGTTTCCTACTCAACAAATGAGAGGTTGAGCCTAGTATTCCTAACATAATGTGTGTTTTCCGTTCAACAGATGAGCGGCTGTGTCAGTGCTACAACAGTATTTCTGCGTATTTCCTATGCAACGTATGAGACAGTGAGTTAGTGTAACAACATTATTTTGTGCGTGTTCCCCAGTTAGCAAATGAGAGATTGAAGACGTACTAAAAAAAATCATACATGTCTGTTTTTCGGGTTCTTACGTTTTATGGTATTCTCTGTAGGGCATCTTTATGTGAAACCGGTAGAAAATAAAAATAAACTTAAGTTTTTATCACATATATATATATATATATTACTGTTTAGATGGTAAAAATACCGACAACATGAGCACTCCCATTACCTTAGCAACAACTACAGCATATATGCACCCCTAGTCTCAATATAACAACCAGTGTTAGCACTAACAAGTATAAAAAAATAATACTCGTTTTTCTTTTTCTTGTTTGACCCGAACCTTATCGGAAATATAGACAATTAGAATAATAAACATCATCGTGGTCGCCACTGCCTTCTAGCGGACGTATGACATACTTCTAGCAATAGGAGAAGAAAAGAAAGTATGAATTAATTCACCCAGGACAGCTATTTGACAGAGCTTTAATCTTTATCATTTAACCTTATCATAGGAATGATAGAGTGGGGACGCATATTGAAAACTATCGCTGCCTTATCACGAGGAACGCGTTTGTGTAAACCTTATCATAGGAATGATAGAGTGGGGACGCATATTAAAAACTATCGCTGCCTTATCACGAGGAACGCGTTTGTGTAAACCTTATCATAGGAATGATAGAGTGGGGACGCATATTGAAAGCTATCGCTGCCTTATCACGAGGAACGCGTTTGTGTAAACCTTATCATAGGAATGATAGAGTGGGGACACATATTAAAAACTATCGCTGCCTTATCACGAGGAACGTTTGTGTAAACCTTATCATAGGAATGATAGAGTGGGGACGCATATTAAAAACTATCGCTGCCTTATCACGAGGAACGCGTTTGTGTAAAGATATGTATATATGTATCACTGCATTCCACTTTTACTTTATGGTTCAAATATACATCGTCTTCTTCAGAACAGTATGTGAATAACTGGACAAAAATCTTCAACAAAAACTGTCATGAATATGATTATATGCGCTTAAAATATTTGAACAGGCGGATATCAAATACTTATCGGAAGTGAAGAAGTTCTAGAAAGTGTTATTGACACAATTTAATTACGTCTGAACGACTAGTGCCAATGTAAATAAGCCCCGAATATGCAACAAAGTAAGACAAGAAGGTCGTCACACTCGAGCAAGTTTATATCTTTGTTGAATTTCGTGAAAAAATGCTCGTGGGCTGTTCGCGTTAACTATCCCTAATTTAAAAAATTAATAGACCAGAGAGGAGGCTGCTAGTCAACACCACCCACCTCCAACTAATGAGCTGCTTTAATCAAAGATTGGGATTGATCGTCATATTATCTATATAAATAAACGTCAGTATGTCTGTGTATCTGTTCCTTATACGTTTCCACATTTAATGATCAACTAGCACCAAACTTGACACAGTGATACAGGATGACACGAGGAAGGTCATGAGGAGAGTTGGACCCCCTCTAATTTCATATTAATAGAATTATTGAAAATAGTATGTCTGTCTTTTCAGTATTGGTACTTTTATGTATTTTATTGCACTTTGAATGTTTATTATGTTAAGACAAAATATAGAAGCACAATTTCCTATCCTTTGTTACAAACGAGTTTTTATTTCACCCGTCCAATGGACGGGTACTCCAGCTAGTAATCAATAATTTCGGCGAATTTTATGTGAAAATGTGTTATACTGCTAAAATAAAGGTCTTATTTATATGTAAACTGACGGATCAAATAAAAACAAATTTACGTTTGTTTTTCATCAGTCTGAAGCTGCACTATTTTGTTAATTCCTTATAAGCATAGGTTTCAATATTTGGATGTTTTCGTTTTTTTCGGTTGGTATAATAAGATCATATGTTAGGCCTGAAAAGAGCAGTTTTTGTAGAGTCTTCATTAAGTATTTGAGCAACATTCACATAACAAAATAGTCAATAGTCATCATCAGTAGATTCTACTGCATCGCTGTTTATTTGCGAAATACATATAAAGTCTAGTTAGTTAATTTTAGCTCTAGCTGTTGAGCGTGAGGAACTAGTTGTGGAGTTTATGTAATTAAACATTAGTTTTCATCAGTTGTGATTTGTAATGCAAGGATTTAACATAAAAACATATATTAAGTTGGAATATTTCTTGCCAGCATTGTTTATAGGTGGATTTAACTTTTCAATCCCCCCTCCCCCCCCAAAAAAAGATCGGTTAATGTCAGTAGTGCGATATGATGCAGCGAAAATTAGCTGAAAAAAAA